CATTTGATGGTGAAATCCTGCCTGCATACACATTCACTCTAGAGTTGGCCAAACAAAAAGGCAACTTTATCTTTCACACACTATGGAATTGGATGTGGCTGGAACTGTAGTGCCACTACTGCATTAATAGTGGGATTCTAGTTTCCTCCATATATTGCGCCTATGGTTTTAATAATGTTAACACCATGTGGAGTCAAGAGAGGCTTGATCATGGGTGATGTTTTTAGTTCCAATTAATTTTTATAAAAGAAAAATGTATATGTGCTTATTCTGGAACTTGGACAAGCACAGACCAGTGTACTTAAAGACCATGCAAAACTCCACTACAGAGGAGGATGTGTGGAGCAGTGCATGGAGAGGGTGAGCACTGCTTGGCAATACTTTTTTTTATACGGAAGGTTATGGGGGTATGTAAAAAATAAATAAAACTAGAAATGAATTTTAAGTAAAAACAAAGTTAATGCTGAATCAAAGGGCATATGGGCAAAATGTAAAAATTGCTCTGGTCCACACTGCTTGTGTGCCAGCTGCTCATACTTCAGATACTTAAAATGGTCACTTAAGTGGGTGTAGTATGGGCAATTGCCACAAGGGCGGTTATCCTGGGTGCAAAACTTTCAGACACATAAAATCATACCTCACAATTGTCCTGGATTCCATTGGGACTGTCCTGGGATTTCAACAAAGTTTGTGCTGGGAGGGAGGGTTTGGGGGTGGAGGTCGGGTTACAGGATTTTGTGCTGGAAGGGGAAGAGGATTAGGCCCAGGCTATGTCAATGGGTCAGCTTTTTTCTGCACACTGTGTACCGGTGAATGAGGGAAGAGATCACGGGTGTCACATATTTATGGATGGAGTTTAAGACACCTAGACTTCTGTTCCTATAAACCAGGGGTCTCCAAACCTTTTAAGCAAAGGGCCAGTTTATTGTCCTTCGAGGGGGCAGACTATGGCCAGTAGAAGTAGATAATGCCACAGGCTTGGTGGTAAGTGGGAGTTATATAATTGCATGGCACTCCTGTGGTCAGTAGGAGGAGGAAATAGTACCCCATAATTGGTTTTAGTGGGAGGAATAGTGCCCTATCATGGGTTTCAATGGGAGGAATAGTGCTCCATCATTGATGCCAGTGGAAGGAATAGTGTCCCATCATGTTTTTAAGCCTCCCTAACTACCAGGAGTCTCTTTCCGGGGTGTGGCTGTCTGTCTCTTATCACCAGGGGGGGACTGACCATTTAAGTACTCGGGCACTGCCCTAGGGCCCAGGGTCAGTAGGGGGCCCCATGAAATGCCCCTGGCACCTTTTTTTATAGGCTTTTTTGGGTGTGCTTTGAGTCTGGGCAAGGACACAGGGTCCCCATGATCCCCTATTGCCCGGGGGCCCCATGAGTTGTCAGTCAGCCCCTGCTTATCACCCTAATTTTTTTTCCCTTGATGCTGAATTTTTTAAAAATGGCTCCATACATAGGAGATGGGTTGTGTCCCTTAGGCCCTCTCTGCTACTTTATGTAAATAGTTTTCTATAGTCTGAAAATGTTGGTAGTAGACTCTGTATTTATTGTATATGTTCTGAACATGGATGTGTATTCATTTTGTTTTCTGTTGTATGACTGTACTATGTTTATCTTTTTTACTTTTGTATAAAATTCTGTTGCTTGATTCTTTTCAATAAAAGATCAATAGTGTCCCATCATTTGTGTCAGTGAAAGAAATAGGGCCTCAATGTTGGTGTCAGTGAAAGGAATAGTGCCCCAATGTTGGTGTCAGTGGAAGGAATAGTGCCCCAATGTTGGTGTCAGTGGAAGGAATAGTGCCCCATCCTTAGTGTAAGTAGAATAAATAGTGTCCCATCATTTTCGTCAGTGGAAAAAATAGTGCAACATCACTGGTGTCAGAGGAAGAAGTTATTCCCCATTGTTGGTATCAGAGGGAGGAATAATGTCCCAAGAGCCAGATAAAGGCAAGCAAAGGGTTAGGAGGCAACTGCTATAGACTCTCGGGATATAAATCCCTGTTTGTAACCTAAATGTTTTATTGTATTATGATTTTAGAAAAAGATTTTAAATTATATTCCTTCTGCTGTGGTATCTCGTTTGTTCATCTGATCAGGAGAAAGTGCATATCTAGTTTTTGAGATCCGCCTGGAGTGCACACCGGTACATTAGGGATAAGAAAGAGAAGAAAAAAATTAGGATAAAACTCCTAGGATATGCTATATAAAAATAAAATTCTGCAATATACTGTATATGTTTTTGGCAACACAGTACTGATGACTACATATAGAACATTTTGAAAGAAGGAAATTGTATATTATATATGGATGTGTTCAACTACTAGTCATAGGAAATGCATTGAACTGAACTTCTATAATATGTATTGGGAACAAAGAATTCCATGCATTTGTTCTGACACATCTGAAGGCAGCTTACATTATTTTCCATAAGAAAAAAAAAGAGAAAAAAGTCTAGCTTGAGACCAAAATGGAAAGTTAAAACTAATGCTCTACATTTATCATGCGCTGGGTGCATATTAGCCTGGGCCATGGACACGCCACCTTTACGCAGAGAGGAATTTGTATAGTCATCTCTGTTCACTCAACAGAAAGCCTTGAAAGAAGGAATCAAATACTTCACAAAGACAGCAAATGAAACACATCAGCTAAAAGATTGACTGATTGGTTTCTTCACAGATCTGATGGATGGTTCCTACTGACCTGTAAAGTCATTGGTTGGGCTTGGAGCCACAACCACAAGGCTCAACTGAAGAAGAAATATAAATACAACTCAACAGCTAACACTTATTAGTGACTGGTACAAAACTTGTCAGCTAAGACTTTTACTCCAGAAAAAAAAAAAACAGTACCAGTAACAAATAAGTGTAAGCTGTTAGTTATATATATATATATATATATATATATATATATATATATATATATATATATATATATAAAATATTCAGCTAAGACTGTTACTCTACTACTGCAATAAAAAAAAAAAAAAACAGTGTCAGTCACTATTTATAAAGATACAAAATACAGTATACTATTTTTTCTGGGGTAAAATTCTTAGATTACATGTTTTGCACTACTTTGTTACTTATAAGTGTTAACTGTTGCAAGTTGTATTTATATATCTTCTTCAGTCCTTGTACTTGTGGCCTCAATTAAAAAAAAAATAAAAAATATATATATAATGAGAGGGAAAAAAAATAAAAAAAATATATATATATATATATATATATATATATATATACTTACACATCTATATATATATATAGAGATGTGTGTATATATATATATATGCACATTTTTTTTTAACTAGCAGGTAACTTATGATATTATATTATTAATAACTCGTACTGTTTTTTTACTGGACTTAGCTGACAAGTTCTATACCAGTCGCTAAGTTGTAGCTGTCAGTAAAAAAAGAAAAAGGAAAATAAAATATTATATATATATATATATATATATATATATATATTATATATATTATATATATAGTTTATTTTAACCAGCAGCTAATGCGTATTAGTCACTAATACTTTTTTTCTGGGGGTAAAGGGCTTAGCTGACAAGTTTTGTACCAATCACTAACAAGTATTAGCTGCTGGTTAAAAGAAAATTAAAAAAGGAAAAAAATATATACAGTACATAATTTTTTATCTGATAGCTAACACTTGCATCTGACTGGTACTTTTTTTTCTGGGGTAAAAGTCTTAGTTGGCAAGTTTTGTATCTGTCATTAATTAGTGCTAGCTGCCAGTTAAAATAAATAAATGCAGAATTAAAAAAAAAATAATTAATTTAAAAAAATATTGTGTTTATATTTTGCTAAAAACCAGATAACACTTCTGATTGACTGGTACTTCTTCTGCTGTAAAAGGCTTAGCAGACACGTTTTGTATCAGTCAGTAATAAGTGTTAGTGTTAGCAAATGTCTCGAAAGAGCAGGGCCCTCAATCCCCTCATGTTTTGCATTGTATTGGTATTGTTCTGTCACATGTTCTGTCCCCCTTTGTAATGTACAGCGCTGAGCGAACTATTGGCGCTTTATAAATACTGTATAATAATAATGATAAACATATATATACTGTATATATATATATATATATATTTCTAAATTGTAAGCTCGAAAGAGCAGGGCCCTTGACTCCCTCGTGTATTGTTTTGTTACTGTATTGTCTCATGTTCTGTCCCCCACTATAATGTACAGCACTGAGCAAACCTTTTAGCGCTATATAAATACTGTATAATATATAATACAATATAATATAATCTTATATATATATATAATATATATATATTAATAATTATTTTTTTAAAAAATCAGTCATTGCAGAGTCTAGCTCTGCATGTTTAACAAGTTACCAACACCTTAAGTAAATACTGAAACATTTTAGAAAAAGTGGGAGGATGTGGATGAAATTAGAAAGTGTGAGTTAACAGAGGAAAAAAGGCATAAAACCCCCAAAAAACCCACATTGTGAAATCAGATCTGAGAACCTTTGCTTAATCCAGAGAGTAAAAAGGTATAGCAGACTTGAAATCCAATCTTCCATAACATTCCTAAAACCAGGTTTATATATATAATTTTTTTATTTTTTTTTTTTTACTCCCATCCTAAATGCTATGACAGTAAATGGCAGATGTTAAATACACCTTAGTCCACATCTAAGAAACATGTACTTAGCAGAAGTGCTGTTATAGAATATAATTATGGTGAGTAAACATGAATGAAAAGTGTATTTTGGGTAGAAATGTGAGAAAAATATTAAGCGCAGACTCCCCGTTGTAGACTTACGGCTATGTTTATATTTTTGTTGTTGGCCCCATTGCTGTGATAGTAGATACAAGATGTTAAAAGCACCTTAGTCCACACCGCATAATGCACTTAGATGTGTTGCTTTTGCTGCAGTATGGCAGACAACTATGGCTATTGGTACCAAAACTGAAGAGAGGATTGTGGGTAGAAATATCAGCAAATAATAGGTCTGAGCTCTTGGTTCTTAACCACTTGCCATCCGCCTGCTGTTTTTATAAACAGCAGGACGGTGGCACTCCAGGGGCGGGTTGCCGTTCATAAACGGCACCTGCCATTTCTAGCTGGGAGCGCGCAGCACCGCGATACGGTGCCCGCTGTGTTCTCCCGGACACAGGGAAACACCGATCGTCGGACGGGACCTCTGTGTGAGGTCCTGATCATGTGATCACTGATAGGCCAATCAGTGATCACATGCAAAGTAGTAAGCAAGATGTCACTTGTGACATCATTGCTTACTACGTGTGAAATCTGTGAATGATCACAGAGGTCACATGGTACATTCACAACAGCCTTGTACCATGTGACAAGCTGTGACCAATCACAGCTCACTCAGTATTTCTCAATGGCTGCAAGAATGCAGAAAGATAGAAAGAGAAATGATTGCTTTTACATCCTTTATGGGTGTAAAAGCAATCACTGTAAAAAAAAAACAAAAACAAAAAAAACCTTATTACCCCCCCACAAGTAGTACAGTGTCACCATGGTGACACTGTACTGCTAGGGTAACAGTATGTAAAAAAATAAATAAATAAATAAAAATGTAAAAAAAAAGTTTAAAAATTATAATTTTTGGTTATAAACTAATTTAGCTTTTTTTTTTTTTTTTTTTTTTTACTAAAAAGATAACGGAATACATTTTGGCTAAGATTTATGATGAAAGATTATTTATTTGCAAAATTTTTATAAGAAAAACACTTTTTTTTCTAAATTTTTGGACTTTTTCATTTACATAGCAAAAAAAAATAAAATCCCAGCGGTGAATAAATACCACCAAAATAAAGTTTTATCTGTCTCAAAAAAAGGGTAAAAAATTCATATGGGTACAGTGTTTGTATGACCGCGCAATTGTCATACAAAATGTCATAGCGCTGAAAGCTGAAAACTTGCCCTGGACAGGAAGGGGGGTAAAAGTGTCCGGACTGGAAGTGGTTAAGGTTATGTTATGTGACAACACAATAAAAAAAATACACGTAACCTCTGTAACTTTGGGTGTATTATAGAAAAAATAGGCGGAGAGCCTCATGACTATTGCAGCAGATTCTTCTCTTTTTTTTTTATGTCCCTTTTTTTTTTTTTTTTTTTTGCTGTGATACGGCTTTGCAAGTTGTCATCGCTTCACAATTAGTGGCATTATATTCAGGTAGCTGCTGAGAGATTGTGTCAGCGGACGAGCTGAGATGTCTTATGTCTTAGGGAAGTGTGTAGTCCTTTTTCAGCTAGTCACTGGAACAGCCTATGACAGATGAATGGAGCATTTTGGCCAGTTTGCATGCCTACGAAAAGCCTACAGAAAATGAAACCATCTCCAGGAGAATGGAAGTAACAATTAGATGTCCTAGTCTAGATAAGAGGAATAAGTTCCATTTCATTTCAGGAAGGATTTGGTTTACTGATCCCCTTAATGTGGCTTGCTTGATGTCAGAGCAGCTTGTAAAAACATGATCCCTAAACGCAATCTAGTACAAGATACACCAAGAAGAGTGTTTATTAAAACATTTGCAACTGCATGTAAATTTGTTCCGGGGCGATTGGGGCAAAATCGAATATTCTCAAGCTGAATTTTCTTTCAATTCGAGTGTGAAGGCAGAAAATACTACATTAACCACTTCCAGACCGGACACTTTTACCCCCTTCCTGACCAGGGCAATTTTCAGCTTTCAGCGCTGTCACACTTTGAATGACAATTGCGTGGTCATGCAACACTGTACCCAAATGAATTTTTTTTACCATTTGTTTGAGACAGATAAAGCTTTATTTTGGTGTTATGTATTCACTGCTGGGATTTTTATTTTTTTTTGATATGTAAATGAAAAACTCCAAAAAAAATTTTTTTAAAAAGTGTTTTTTTTTATAAAATTTTGCAAATGAATAATATTTCATCATAAATCTTTGCCAAAATTTATTCCGTTATCTTTTTAGTAAAAAAAAAAAATCCAAATTAGTTTAGAACCAAAAATTATAATTTTTTAAACATTTTTTTTTACATTTTTATTTTATTTTTTTATATTATTATTTTTTTTATTTATTTATTTTTTTTTACATACTGTCACCCTAGCAGTACAGTGTCACCATGGTGACACTGTACTACTTGTGGGGGGTGATGGAAGATTTTTTTTTTTACACTGATTGCTTTTACACCCGATATAGGATGTAAAAGCAATCATTTCTCTTTCTCTCTGTCTGCATTCTTGCAGTCATTGAGAAGTTCTGAGTGAGCTATGATTGGTCACAGCTTGTCACATGGTACAAGGCTTTTGTGAATAGCCTTGTACCATGTGACCTCTGTGATCATTCACAGATTTCACACATAGTAAGCAATGATGTCACAAGTGACATCTTGCTTACTACTTTGCATGTGATCACTGATTGGCCAATCAGTGATCACATGATCGGGACCTCGTACAGAGGTCCCGTCCGACGATCGGTGTTTCACTGTGTCCGGAGGACACAGCGGGCACCGGATCGCGGTGCTGCGCGCTCCGAGGGAGCGCGCACAAGCAGGGTGCGGGGAGGCCGTTTATAAACGGCCACCCGACTCTGCACTGCAACCGTCCGGCCGTTTATATGCAACGGCCGGTAGGGAAGTGGTTAAGGCTTAGGGCTCATGTACACTGCAGCTGATAAACTCACGTTTTTTTTTAAGAGCTTTTCTGCGTTTTTTTCAGCAGCCCCTTGAACTCTCCCTAATGTTTTCCTATGTGTTCATGTACACAACATCGTTTACAGTCGTTTACAGGCAGTTGAGTTTACAGTCGTTTTTTTTAATGCAGAAAACTTTGCATTCAGCAGTAGATTTTATCAGCGTTTTAAACGCAAAACACTTGTAAACACATGTAAATGCGGCTAAACGCAGCTAACTGCGTTTATAGGCGTTTGAAATTTTTTATACCTCTTCCATTTCCAGATGCTGCCCAGAGCCTTTTTTAATCATGAAAAATGAATGCAAAGGGATTTACTCAAATGGACCCGGAACACCATACTTTGAGGTTTTGCATGAAAAAAAATATGTTAGACACTGCTGCAATCATTTCTGCACAGAAATGAGCTGGAACACATCAAAACACCACAAAAAAAAAAAAAGACAGCTAATCTCAACAAATACTGCTCTCTCTGCTTTTACTCTCTCTATTTCTCTCAAAATGTCTGAACTAGTTAATTTTTTACTGTTTTTCAGTGCATTCTGGGCATTTGGGAAGGTCTCCTGAGCAGGGGCGGACTGACAACTCATGGGGCCCCCGGGCAGAAGGGGATCATGGGGCCCCTGTGTCCTTGCCCAAACTCAAAAAAAAAGCCTATGAAAAAGGTACCAGGGGCATCTTTTGGGGCCCCCTACTGACCTCGGGCCCTTGCGCAGTGCCCAAGTTTCCAAATGGTCAGTCCGCCCCTGCTCCTGAGGTTATCTTAAAAAAATGCTTCTAAACGCAAATGCTCATAAACATGGTATGCAAACGCTGCCAAACAGACGTTTTTTTTTAATCTACGTTTTCCAGCAGCCAGTTTCCATCGTTCAGAAGTTTCCCGTGCACATGGGGCCTTAGATGGAAGAGCATACTTATTTCCTATAATAGGCAGCGTCATCTAGTGGTCATAATGTGGTGTTTTCTGCATTCACATATTCAAATTGCAGATAAACATAACCTGAGAACATTTTACCCCGTGTGCACAGAGCTAATTTATATGTAGTTTTGATGGATGAACAGCTATGCAAACGTTTTTAGAAATACACCCCTGTATTTATAAACCATTATTTATTATTTAATAGAGGTGTATTTCTCTATTGATTTATTTATTTTATTTTAATATAGTTTTTTTTAATTACATTTTTAATTTTTACAATTAAAAAAAATTAAAATTTGTAAACTTTTTATTTAATTTTTTTTATTTAACTTATTAATTTATTATTTATTAGAGGTGCATTTATGTATAAATACGCCTCTATATTTATAAAGCACAAATAATTTCTGCTGGTTTTTGAAGGCATGCATATATACAGTATATAGATAGATCGATCAAAAGATAGATAGTTAGATACATATACACTCACCAGCCACTTTATTAGGTACACCTGTTCAATTGCTTGATAACACAAATTGCTAATCAGCCAATCACATGGCAGCAACTCAATGCATTTAGGCGTCTAGACGTGATGAAAGTGACTTGCTGAAGTTCAAACTGAGCATCAGAATGGGGATCAAAGGGCATTTAAATGACTTTGAACGTGGCATGGTTGTTGGTGCCAGACGGGCTAGTTTGAGTATTTCAAAAACTGCTGATCTACTGGGATTTTCACACACAACCATCTCTAGGGTTTACAGAGAATGGTCCGAAAAAGAGAAAGTATCCAGTGAGCGGCAGTTGTGTGGAGCAAAATGCCTTGTTGGTGTCAGAGGTCAGAGGAGAATGGGCAGACTGGTTTGAGATGATAGAAAGGCAACAGTAATCTCTGAGGAATGTTCCCAACACCTTGTTGAATCTGTGTCATGAAGAATTAAGACACTTCTGAAGGCAAAAGGGGGTCCAACCTGGTAATAGCGAGGTTTACCTAATAAAGTGTCTGGGGAGTATATATATATATATATATATATATATATATACACAGTATATATATACAGTATATACGAGGCGTGTCCAGAACAAACCAGGACTTTTGAGTTTCTATAGTATATAGTTTATATAAAACAGAACAAGTCCAGAACAAACCAGGACTTTTGAGTTTCTATAATATATATAATATTATATAAAAGAATAAATTTGAAGGAGTGGAAACTGCATTTATTTATTTTGTTACATACTCCCTGCAACATTTATACACTTATCCCAGTGTTTGATGCCTGGAAAGCATTGGCATAGAAAGATTTCTCAGTATGCCTGAGCCATCCTAGGACAGCTGGCTTCACTTCGTCATCAGTGATGAAATGTTGACCTCTGAGGAACTTTTTTAGGGGTCCAATTTCACGAGAGGGTATGCTTCGAATAACCAAGATCAGGTGTTCCACACACAAGTTCCACACAGAAGTTCACAGGAATGACTGCTGTGGACTGAGAACCACCACAAATATGCCAGATGGTCACTGACAGATATGCAGCCATCTTTGAAATGTTTACACCATTCAAATGTCTTACTGCATCTTATCACCGTACTGTTCTTGAAGTTTTCTGTAGATATCCATGGGTTTTAAGAAAATGAAAGG